GTGTGAAAAAATATATATATGAATATAAAAAAAAAAAAAAAACAATAAGGAAGCATGAAAAGGGTACAAATTCAATTGTGGTTGGGGAGAGGGATGCAAAATAAAAAAAAAAAAGGGTTTCGAGTTTAAGTGAGTAAGTTGTTTTGAGCGATTGTATTCTTTGAATTGTAAAATTATTCCTCTTAATTGCTTGAATCCCTTACATTCTTTCATACCCAATACCCTAGCCTAACGTTATAAGCTTAATGAAGCCCTAATGATCTAAAGCTGTGCATTTGTTCTACATTAGTGGAGAGTGATCTGAAAAGTAGGCATCTGGAGTTGTGTTTTCAAAGTTTTCATTTTTATGGGATCCAAAAAAAAATTTCTCTTTGAAAGTTACATATAAAACCTTCTCTAGGGCTAGGATTGATGGTTTGTGGTATGGTTGTGTGGTTGAAAGTGGAGAATGAAGATGAAACTGATGTTTAGGGTGTTCTTAGATGGATAATTATTGCTTATTCTTTTTGCTATATGTGTACGCTTTGTATGAGACACATTCATTGCTTAATCTAGGAAATGTTTATTTTGTATATGTGTGTTAGGACTTGTAGGACGTTTGTGGCTAACATCGTTGAAAACCCCCACAAGACTATAACTCGTCCACTAAGGGGACCTAGGTGTTTAAAGGCTTATTGCATATGCTAAATGCAATCATGTCAACCTATGGAAATGGTTTAGTTAGGATAGTTTAGTTAGGTTAGATTTTATTTTTATATCACTTTCATTGCTAGGGACTAGCAATAAGCTGGTTGGGGTTTGCGTTGAGTGTTGGAAATGCATATTTATTTAGTGATTTGGGGGTGAAACCGTAAGGAATTTAAGGTTTAATGTATGATTTATGATGTGATTTTTTGCATGTTTCGTTATCTTTCGGAATCAAGGGTGTTCTGTGTTTTTCAGGTATTCAGGTGCAAAAGAATGGATTATTCGTGCTTGTGTTGGTGTTCAGACATCTTGGACTCGTTTGAGTGTGGATAAATCAAGGTAAGAAGTAAAAGTGTGAAATTCCGACTTTGCACTGTGGCTCAATTAAATTGAGTCGCGGCAGGGCGCAATTAAATTGAGCCGTGGCATAAACGCATTGGGGGTTGATAAGTGCTTGAAAATACACTTATACTTAGTGGTTTATAGGTATCGTTTGCGGGAAATAAGGATTAATTTGCATGAATTAACATAATTGTTTCATAAATGCCCTTTTTGGGATCACGGGTATTTTTCTTCTGTTTTTGGGGAATAAAGCTTAAAAATAATATTCGGATAGAGATGATGTTGGTGAGAGAATTTGTGGTGACTGGAAACAAACGGATCAAGAATCAGAGTTGAAACGAAGAAGTTATGGCGATTTGAAATTGAAGTGAAAATCCTGGAAAACTCTCCAGTTTTGAACATGCATCAGTAATTCAACAATAACTTGAGCTGTAGATTTTGGATTGATATGATTCTTGTACCGTTGGAAATCTGATTCAAAGGGCTACAATTCATATCTTTACCACTTGGCAAGATTCGAATGTTATCATGCTCAAAAACCACCGTCTTTTCGAGATTGCATGTTCTGAGGCAGAATCAACTGTGCCTAGGCACAGTGCCATGGCACAACTGCGATTCTGGAATTTTCTACATTAAATTTTTGACGTGTATTTCCTATTTTAAGAGTTCTAAAGTGATTAGGATAGTGGGAATCATAACCCTAAAACCCTGGGAGTATAAATATAAGTCTTTAGCTGATTTTTGGGGATCTTTGTAGAGAACAAAAGTACTCAATAATGTAGAGATTAAGAGAGATTGAAAGAGGCTTGGACAGAAGAATTGGGGAAGATCATCATCAACTCCATTGTTCTACCCAAGATTTCCTAAGTTTTTCTTATCTATTGTTATTATTTTGTTATTCCTTAATATGATTATGTTTTTATTCTTCTCCATGAGTAACTAATTCTTTTGTGATTGAGGGTGATTTCGAAGCCCTAGACATGTCTTGAAATTAATAAAATCTGCATTTATTTATCTTTTGATCCCTCTTGGTTATATGATTATTTTCCTGTGAATAGGGTTTAGATAGATTGTCTTAATTGTTTAAGTGCGTAATTAAATAGTTATGATTAATTTATTAATGTCAATTTAGGTTGTTTAGTACAAAATCGCTTTATTAACCTAAATAACTAGTGATAAAGTGTATGCCTGCATACATGGGGGGTAATCACTCAGGATAACTAAAACGATGCGTGCCAAACTGTGAGGGATTTCAGTTCTTAACACCCAATACTATTTAAATATTTAACATTCGCCACCTTCAAACCTTACAATGTCTAAAATTTTTTTTAGCCGCCATAATTATGCACAACCCTAGGTATAGTTGGTGAAATTAAAAACCATAGTTGGCGAAATTAAAAACCATAGTTGGCATGTGCCTAGTGTCAACCATCTAACTCACTCTAAAGAATGCAAATGGTTTAAAAGGGTTTATTTTATTTACAACCTTGTAAGATCCATTAATATTAAACTCATTTACTTTGTTCAAAAGTATTAAAACACCCCTGTAATTTAGTGATATATTAGAGTTCCATCAAATTTCAATTTCAAAATCAGTTTTACCACAGGGTAGGTTTTGGTTCCAAAAAATAGGAACCGATACTGTGCAGTTCCAGTTCCTGATCTTGTAGGGAGTAACCGAGAACTGATACTTAAATGAAATTTCGTGAAACTATGGGGGCTTTTATGATATTTTATGCTTCAAATAAAATAAAAAAAATTGCGATTGGGACATATACGAATTTAGGGTTCTCACTCAGGTTAAAGAAAATTGAAAAATCTCACTTTCTCTCTATTCTCTTTATTTGGGTGTTGCTTTGGAGAATCTGATATTTGTTTCTGCATTATATGTTGATTTCTAAAAATGGGTTGTTGCTATTTTCGTTTTTGTGCATATGGTTAGTAAGAAATTGGTTGTTCAGCTAATTCTTTAGTTGTTTATGCAAAAATTAGTGGATGGCATTTTTTTTTTTTGGTTTTGCTTTCTTCTTGATTTCTTTGTTTAAAGTGATGTTATTTGAGAACTTTGTATAAATTCTGCTTTGTTCTATTGTGTATGCGTGCTCTTTTGTGAATGTATACCAATTTCAGTGTCATTGCAAGAGTAGGAGTTTTTAAGTTTGATATTTTGTTCGAGCATTTTGTATAAGTTCTTCTTGGTTATTTTTTACGTGTGCTCTTTCCAGTTTAGCATGAAGCATCCTTTCCCTGTACTTCTTCAATTTTAATAAAATTAGTCAAATATTATTTATAATTACGTATGGCTCTTACACGAATTGAATGATGGTGGAATTGTTTAATGTAATAATTTGTGGCTAGAAAGTTAGTTAAGCTGATGTTTTACTAATTGTACACTTATATGGCTTCGGCTGAGTGATTTGAAGGGTGTTGGATTGTGATTTATTGCTGGGAAATTGTTTCGGTATAATGCCTTATGGAATGTCGACCTTGTGAATGTTTTTGGCTGGAATAAATTGAGGATTATGGGTGGTAATTTTTGTGTGCTGGAAATGGTGTAGAATGGAGTGGGAAAGATTATGTTGAATTTGGCATTTTCGTTTTGATGGAGTCTTGCATATGTGCCGGAAGTATGTTTATTTGTGTTGTTAATTTATAAGCTAAAATACATTGAAAAGAGAGAAGTTAAATTTTTGTTATGAATGCGGAATTGAAAGTGCCAAGTTTCATGCTTCTTTTTGTTTATTGCAGAATATTTAAGAATTGTGAAGGAAGATTTTTGTTATAATGTAGGATTATTTTATGAAAAATGCTATCCTTACAAAGACCCATACAAAGAGGGTTACAAAGTGACATCATCCAGAAAAAAAAAACGGAAAACGAGAGAGAGAAATCATGAAAATCAAAGGTGAGAATTGTTTTTGTATGTCCCCTTTATATGTGTCTTTGTAAAACTAGCATTGCTTTTATTTTATATACACACTATGAGGATTTTTGCACATGAATTATTTTATATACATACATTTCAAAAGGAATTTATTCCTTCTGAGCCTTTCTGTTATTAACTTATCATGTGATGTTATTGTGTAATGTAATTTTAATTTTGGGAGGATGAAACTTGATAGTTGATATGTTATTATGTTGTACTTGTGTTATTTAAAGTTTTAAAGTGTTATGTAATTTTAATCTAGGGAGGTTGAAATGGATATTGGAATAGTTGTAATTTTTGTAAAGTTTGTAGGGTGTATTTGTCATTTTTAAAAACTGTTAGGGGTGTAATTGTATTTTATGAGGGTTTATTTAACATTTTTTAAAAAGAGGGGGTAATTAATATTTTCCTGGGTACCCGAAACCGAAACCAGAACCTCCTATAACACAGATTCCAGTTCTGATTCCAATTCCAATTCCTTCAGAAAAAGGGCGGGTACCCAAAATCGCCTACCCCTACCTCTCGTCACTTACCAACTTAAAATAATTTCTCTACTTGATTTATGATAAAGTCTTATCGTCGGGGGTGTGACTAACAAAACTTGAAAGCTTTGAGAGCGGAGGAGAAGGAGTTACCAACTTAAATGAATTTCTCTACTTGATTTATGATAAAAGTCTTACTGTCAGGGGTGTGACTATCAAAACTTGAAACCTCTGAGGGGGATGAGGGCAGTGATAATAACTCTACAATTAAAGAACCTAGAAAATCATTACATTACAATACCTTTCACGTGGTGCTTCTCCCTTTTTAATTAAACCATTTGCTAATCCTTAATCTAATTAAAAGATAGCATCTCTCTTACTCGAATGTAAGAAACTCTATTTATAATTAAATAACCTTATTCCTTATTTTCCACAACGTGATAAGTGACATTTTGAAGTAATAGAATGCAAGATATATGGATTCATATCAAGCAATATATTACAAACTTTTACTGAAGTCATGACATGACAAGAGAGAGAACATCGCACAAAATTATCTTTTAATTTACTAACAGCAATCAGTGAAAAGAATAGTGTAACATCTTTCTAATTGTCTATACAGATCAAGTGTATCACAACACAATAACAAACAAAATTTTAGGTTGGAACATTGGAAACCAAAAATATGAGCCAAAAATTACAGGAACCCAATGGTGATATCTGATCATTGTTATTGTACCAAATAACCATCAAACAATATACTGAAGACTGGTTCAGGAAATAAATGAAAATTGGAGCTCACCTTGTGGAAAGATGATCACACTGCTACTAAAAGTCTGAGATTATAGTCTTGAACAAGAGTGGCAAAATTTTGAATGGGTCAGTGTAAATCTATGTAATTCAAACAAAATCCGCTGAGGTTTGTTTTTGCTGTTGGTCTTTAATGTCACAAATCTATGTAAAGCCACATCAATCTAACTGCCTGTCTTCTGGACTTTTTCCCCCATCCAAGTCTTTTGCATCTTCTCTTTCTGAGGGCGATGGGTTGGATCTCATCATGTATTTGCAAGTCCTGAAATACAATTCGTATAATCTAAGCGAACCAAAAAAAAAAAAAAAAAAAAAGAGGAGACTAGGGTTTCATTGATACTGCACAATGCAATCGAATACAAAAGAATAATTTAACCTAAATACAAATAGACTATATATAGGCTAAACAAAGAAAACTGAAAAAAATAAGGAAATAATGAAAANAAAAAAAAAAAAAAAAAAAAAAAAAAAGAGCATGATATACATTCGAAATCAGAAATAAAAAGAACAAAAAGATGGCCAATCTACAATATGGTTTTAAAATTATAATTGATATTCAATAGGAAATAGCAGAGCCGGATGCAATTGAAAAGATTGAATATCATGGTGTTACATTGGCAAAAACCTGCTACTGAACTGAACTTCAAAACTTCAGAAGTTATATAATAATCTTATATCACCTGTTCTACATTTCCAGGGCACACAGCTTACATAGATTCACATACTCTGGTTACAAAAGTTTTAAGAGGACCATGGGAACCTATGAAGCATAGGATTGAGAAGTGATTAATATAGGTAAAACTCTTCACAAGCGCATGCGAAGAACAGCTACAGCATCCCTAAACATAAGGTATGGATGGAAGATCCTACCAAGCATATCATATCCACAGGTTTATTCCGAGCTTGGATTGGTACATGGTGGATTTCAAGAAGACAAATACTTCTTTGGCTAAGCCTATAAAAGGTCGCAGATAGGGATTTTCTGTCTTACGTAATCAGATTTAAAAATAGGATCTGAGTGTGATAAATCAGAGTTTATTATATTAAACTTGACATTCAAAATAGAAAGAACTCTGCTCTTTGAACAGCCAGTATGGATATATATTTGTGAATACTTGTATGATAAATATCCTAGCAGAGGTTAGTGATAGACAAACATTACAAGTCAAGTGCCTCCGATTTTCTCATGATTTCACTTGACCATAATATAGGATCAGCATCCTTTGGTAACAAGTCCTGATGTCTGGTTTTCTCTTGCAGCCACTGCTCTGATTTATTGCACTCATCAATGACCTGAAAAGGAGAGAAGGCATAATACTAGATAGATTTACAAATCATCACCATCCCTGTAACAACCAACCAAGTACATGACAAGGATCTTACCGCATCTCTCATACTGGATGGAAGTGATCCTACAACCTTCCTGTAATCCAACGTACACTTCAGGAGATCCCTAGTAGCTTGTGCTCTGGCCTCTTCCTCTTTGTATCGATTTTCAATAGGATCAACAAACTATTAAAATTTTCAAATTAGTTAGTTATTTTGGTTAAGAATTTATCCAAGTGACTTCCCAAAGTTGTTCATAATCACCTTTTTAAGATCCTGTAGTTTTTCAATATAAACGTGTTCAGATTCATCAACTCCATCCTCATAAAGCCAGTTCTCAGTCTCTTGAAGATTTCTAGAGATTTCTTCCCTCTCTGCCTCGGAAGCAAAACTCTGGTATGTACTTAGAATCTGCTTGCATAATTGTGTTATTCTACTCTGTCCTGATAGCTTTTAATATAGCAATTAAATGTGAAATGTACCTTATCACGCATCTCATAGACATAGGACTCCAGGGCATTTTTCTTATCTTTGGTTCGCTCCATCTTCAAATCCTGCTGTGCCAACTGATTTTCTTTGTCGATAGCTTCTGAAAGCTCACTCTTTGTTATTCCACCATAGACACTCTGATTAATTGGAATTTCAAGCCTTTTGATGACCTTGCCATTTCTCACTTTATCTATCTGCATAAGGAAATTAAATCCATCATCTAAACCTGCCAACTTAACACATAATTCTGTGAAAATAAAATCAGTTCTTGACAACACAAGATACAAGTGATTAATTGATCCAGAACACAATATGGAAAAGCAGTAAATGTAAATATGTGTTGAGATGCATCTGCTGATATTCTTTTCTGTTCCCCCTTTATCTCTTTTTCTTTTATTTGTTTACTTTGATATGGATGTAAATGTAAATATGTGTTGAGATGCAACACTTATAATAAGGTAACTTAAGTGTGCAAAATGTGCAAGATTACAGACTTCAGTATCACTTGCTACAGCAGATATATCGTCAAGTTTGGCCTCTACTTCTGAAGGTGAATGAGCATCTCTCCTGGTCACAACGTCATCCAAGTATTCTTCTATTAACTGAATCCATTAAAAAGTATTAAGAACAACTTAGTCTAATTCCTTTGAGCATCCAGAAAGACAGAAAAAGAAAACAAAAATGGTTCAATGACCAGAAAAATAACCAGTAAATAGTCTGACAGAACCAATTTATAAGATTATATACTTACAGATGCTGACTGTATATTCACCACCCCATGAAGATCTAGCTGTACTTTGACCTTTACTTTTGCTGTTTTGGCATGGAAAGTTTGGAAAGGCCCGATCTACAGGAATATTAAATAATAAATTCAATAATATAAAAACAAATTTGAAACTAAAAATCAGAAAGCCAAAGGAGCAAAATACAACTGAAATACAAAGGCCTACTCTAGACAAGGAATGATAACACATTTCAGGCCCTTAATCATTGACTCGGTGATGGGAACCTGGGCACTTGCACTCAATTCAACCAAACAGAGCAATGAACTCACAAACACAAATCAATTAATAAGAGAAATCAATGTTAGGAACTGAATATTGTATTACTGAATTTTAAAGAATATCTCAATCAATATGATCAAGAACAGGAAAAGTAAACAACATAGAAATTAAGATAGCCTAGCAATTTGAGGAGCTAATGACCTCCCTTTCCAAATTCTATTAAAATATTCTGTGATTTTTTAAGAGGTCATAAACCAAGATTTATACCCAGATAACATCACGCATATTACCTTGACAGTGCCATGTGGCTAACAAACTTGCCCACTTGCATTCCCACACTATTTAGCCCTTTTATTCCTTTTGTAAATATGAGTTGAGGTACTATCACTCGGAAACATACAAAAGCACCTCTTGTTTTCTCTCTTTTTTTTTTTTTTTTTTACCTTGTGTCATTTAAAGTTAGCCATACCTAAAAACTAAAGCATAGCCCAACAACAGTAAAAATATTGAAATTAGCTCCAGTCACAGAGCATTATTATGCACATGATCACAGTTTTCTTGTACATAGATCCTTAAACATTAGTGATAGGATAAACTACAACATTTTGGTAAATTTACTTAAAAATGCAAAGAGATAAGAACATATATCACCACTCACATTTTCTAGCATCAAACAATCTACCTTGCTATTGGATAGCAATATGCTGCAAACAAACTACACATAAAGACAGTATGACTCAAAAGAATACCTAATCGGCATTCCCCCATACACTTACTAGACATACTTTACTTTCCTATCTCTTCGCTTGCAATAATCTAGAGAATCTTCATAATAGTCAACCAATTAACCAACTTTAAAAGCGGGTTGTTGCAGGAAGTCCAATGTACACCAGTCAATCAAGAAATAAATCATATTAAATATTTAAAATTTGTCGAGATCTTTTGGTACCCTTTTTTTTTTTTGGTAGTTTCCTAGCAAGTTTAACACTTACAAGGAATAGGAATACGGTTCTTACAGAGAATAGAAGTGCTACTACTACTATTAGGAATAAAAGATATTTTAATGTAACTATAAATATAGGGATGAGAATCATATATAGGATATGGGAGAATAAAGGATTACATAAGCTATGTTCTCTATCTAGATTTGAGAAGAGTGGTCTAAACACTTGGGTTGAGTGATGAGAGGAGGAATAATTTCCTACCTCTGTTATGTTGGATGTTTGATACCATGTTATTTGGGGCAGAGTCACATTAAATTATCTTCTTTTTTGCGTGATATAATTTTATTTCATGTGTTTTTAAATTGATGTTTATATGGTTACACATTAATAGAATGGAAGATTTAATGTATATAAATACATGAATTTATGATATTTGATTATAAACATCAGAGAGAGAGAGAGAGAGAGAGAGAGAGATGGATGGGTGTAAAATTGTATTAGCTTGGTTTGTTATAAAAAAAAAAATTTCAAGAAAAGGTTTACTACAAAATCAACATCCTGTGTATATTCAGAACAAAATGCTGAGCACTATGAAGGCCCAAAAGAAATTGTATGTCCAAACCACAACAATGCATAAGTTAAATCAACATGCATTTAGAAATAAATCTACATGATCTGCATATATCTAGGACAAGAAGCATGTATGAACAAAACCATACCATACAACTACTGATTTGAGGAGATACGTCAGATGGTAATTCATGTTGATCTGCATAGACAGCTTCTATATGGAAGTCATTAGTCCTATGCAAAGTAAGAATCTTAACACTGGGAAATGGTTGGCCTTTGCGGAAAAGCATGGCGTTTGACAGCGTGCGGATTGGACCTTTGTCAGATGAGAATCCAATGGAAAAAGGAAATGAATCTTGAACCTGAAAATGATAAGACTTGGTAACATTAAGTCTTGACAAGGAAAATATCACCATGCATGCAACATAATGCATACAAATGCATGCATATAGACATAAACAAGGCAGAACGGGAAAACAAAAATTGTTACTGTTGCAGCCTAATGAAATAAAATAACTTGTTGCAGCAAGCACCTTCACAACATATTTACTTCACTGAAAAGAATATTGCATCACATTAAAACCAACTGGTTTTTATAGAACTAAACACTTAACACTCACATGCACTTACGTAGAACAAAAAGGTGAATGGATTTAGTGACAACTACTTATCTAATGAAGTGCAGGTACCTAATTATTTTCTAGCAGGAAAAAAAAAAAAAAAAAAAAACGAAAAAATAACTGACAATAAACTCTCAACCCCTTCTTGTAAAAGAATACCTAGATCATTGTAATCGGCAATCAATAACCAAGAAAACCTATCTGTATCTGCTCAAGGAGAAGCAATAGAAGCAANGAATACCTAGTCGGTATTCCCCCATACACTTACTAGACATACTTTACTTTCCTATCTCTTCGCTTGCAATAATCTAAAGAATCTTCATAATAGTCAACCAATTAACCAACTTTAAAAGCGGGTTGTTGCAGGAAGTCCAATGTACACCAGTCAATCAAGAAATAAATCATATTAAATATTTAAAATTTGTCGAGATCTTTTGGTACCCTTTTTTTTTTTTTGGTAGTTTCCTAGCAAGTTTAACACTTACAAGGAATAGGAATACGGTTCTTACAGAGAATAGAAGTGCTACTACTACTATTAGGAATAAAAGATATTTTAATGTAACTATAAATATAGGGATGAGAATCATATATAGGATATGGGAGAATAAAGGATTACATAAGCTATGTTCTCTATCTAGATTTGAGACGAGTGGTCTAAACACTTGGGTTGAGTGATGAAAGGAGGAATAATTTCCTACCTCTGTTATGTTGGATGTTTGATACCATGTTATTTGGGGCAGAGTCACATTAAATTATTTTCTTTTTTGTGTGATATAATTTTATTTCATGTGTTTTTAAATTGATGTTTATATGCTTCCACATTAATAGAATGGAAGATTTAATGTATATAAATACATGAATGTATGATATTTGATTATAAACATCAGAGAGAGAGAGAGAGAGAGAGAGAGAGATGGATGGGTGTAAAATTGTATTAGCTTGGTTTGTTATAAAAAAAAAAATTTCAAGAAAAGGTTTACTACAAAATCAACATCCTGTGTATATTCAGAACAAAATGCTGAGCACTATGAAGGCCCAAAAGAAATTGTATGTCCAAACCACAACAATGCATAATTTAAATCAACATGCATTTAGAAATAAATCTACATGATCTGAGTATATCTAGGACAAGAAGCATGTATGAACAAAACCATACCATACAACTACTGATTTGAGGAGATACGTCAGATGGTAATTCATGTTGATCCGCATAGAAGGCTTCTATATGGAAGTCATTAGTCCTATGCAAAGTAAGAATCTTAACACTGGGAAATGGTTGGCCTTTGCGGAAAAGCATGGCATTTGACAGCGTGCGGATTGGACCTTTGTCAGATGAGAATCCAATGGAAAAAGGAAATGAATCTTGAACCTGAAAATGATAAGACTTGGTAACATTAAGTCTTGACAAGGAAAATATCACCATGCATGCAACATAATGCATACAAATGCATGCATATAGACATAAACAAGGCAGAACGGGAAAACAAAAATTGTTACTGTTGCAGCCTAATGAAATAAAATAACTTGTTGCAGCAAGCACCTTCACAACATATTTACTTCACTGAAAAGAATATTGCATCACATTAAAGCCAACTGGTTTTTATAGAACTAAACACTTAACACTCACATGCACTTACGTAGAACAAAAAGGTGAATGGATTCAGTGTCAACTATTTATCTAATGAAGTGCAGGTACTTAATTATTTTCTAGCAGAAAAAAAAAAAAAAAAGGAAAAAATAACTGACAATAAACTCTCAACCCCTTCTTGTAAAAGAATACCTAGATCATTGTAATCGGCAATCAATAACCAAGAAAACCTATCTGTATCTGCTCAAGGAGAAGCAATAGAAGCAAAACTTGCAACAAAAATAAAAAATGTAGATATATGATCATGGGAGTAAAAAGAGAAGAACACTAAACTGTCCAAAAACAATGTGTGCTTCCCTAAAGAAAAACACAAACCTCAAACTCTCTAACACAAAATATGGGGCTCAGCATTGCACACTGAAGAGCACAACCACGAGCCACACACTCACTAGCATTTATTGTCCGGCTTGGCTCCTTGTTGAACAGAGAAGCTAGCATCCTCGTAATAGCAGGTACCCGAGAACCTGAACCAACAAGCTCAACTGAATGAATTTTGTCCACGGACAGTTGAGAATCAGCCAAAGCCTTCTGACATGGAATTCTAATCCTCTCCAGCAAAACTGAAGATAGCTTCTCAAACTCTTCCCTCTTAATAAAGCCTTTAACATCTTTCTCATTCATCAAGCACTCTATATTTAATGGTGCCCCAGCATTTGCACTCAAGACTTTCTTCATTTTCTCACAGGATGCCCTCAACCGGATAACTGCCTTGATATTTGTATAAACATCTATGTTATACTGTTCCTTGAACTGTGCCGCAAAATAACTGAACAAAACCTCGTCAAAGTCTCTCCCTCCCAAGCTCCTGTCAAAAGCATGAGAAAGTATCTTCATTTTCCCACTCTCAAACGAAGCAACGCAAACCTGAGTGTCGCAATGACCAATGTCTACAAAAACAACATAAGTTGGATCCGCAATGAGAAAATCAGTCTTGTAAATACCATATCCAAGGGCAGTGGCAGTACAGTCATGCATCAATCTCAATGGCTTCAACCCAGCAATTGTCGCTGCGTCCCAATAAGCATGTCTCTGCTGATCCGTAAAGTAACATGGAATTCCAATCACACAATCTGAAGCGGGCATATTTATATTCTTCTCAGCTATTTGCTTCAAATTTGAAAGCAACATTCCTAATATTTGAACTGGAGTAAACATATGAGTTTCCCCCAAGTACTCCAACCTAACCAAAATTCCGCCATCATGACTTTCACAAGTTTCAAAAGGTAAAAGTTTAAGGTCCTTATGCGCATCAACTTCCCTAAATTTCCTACCAATCAATCTCTTAACCTGAGAAATTGTTGATCTTGGGTTCATCAAAGCAGAAGCAGCTCCAGCTGAGCCCATTAATCTCTGCTTCTCACTAAATGATACCACAGCCAGTGTCTCACGCTTTGATTCATCATTCAACAAAACATCAACTCCACGTTGCTTCACAACTGCAATCACACAATTCTCATTTCCAATATCAAACCCCAGCACACTCATTTTCACTGATTCAAATTAAAATCCCCAGAAGATTAACTCTCAAAATCACAAATAAATATACATTTTCGAAAATTCAATGTAAAAATCACAGAAACCACCTCCAAATTCCTCGAAATTGAAGCTTTTACTTACGGCATCAAAATGAAGCCACCTAGAGCAATTCAAAAGACTAAATTAGCCCAAGAGTAAAATAATCAATATGAGCTGAAATCGTTAGAATATACAACCTCAAGTTCAAAGGACTATAAAGACGCAGATATAGTGATCTCAGTTGAAATAAGACAAATTCGTGTATTATGAATAATTCTGATTACCAACTAAAATTTTCTTAGAGTTTCTCAGAAATCAAACAGAGAATTAAGTGAAATTTAAGAGATTGAAAACCTGCCTGGTTAAATTATGAATGTAAGATAGGGACCTTAAAAAATTAAGGGCTTCATTAGGTTTGAGAATTGGAAATGGACAGTTTCGGAAGATCTCTCTGACTCTGTAAGTAATTATCAATTGCAAATGTTCAATTAAGCAGAGAACATATGATTTTTTATGTAATAAGAGAGCGTGACGAACAGTGCTTTCAAAGCGGGTTTTTGCGTTGTCGAAGTCCAGGTCGGCAACAAGGAAATAAGAGTGGATTCTTGGAGGTTCCGTAAATTTTTCTTTTTTCATAAGAAACAATGATATGATAATGTGAGTGACGCCATTGACACCACCAAATTTTTCTTACTAACTTTTATTTTTAAATTTACTTCATTAAAATTTTTAACATTATTTAAATATCTAAATAAATTTCATACATTTCCAAAATAAAATCATTACATTTACATTTACATTTTTTTTATCATACTTTATTAATTTTTATTTTTAGCATATTCAACTAATTATCAGATTAACATGAAAGATTTAGATAGTGATGGGTAACATGTTTGATAATTGTATAGTGCTAATCACTAAATAACTCTGAATAAATAAGATTGAATTATATATTTATGACATGTTTGTTTGTAATTTTGAATATTTAATTATAAGTATTAAGTGTTTATTTTTTTACAAATTCTAAATTTCTGAAAACTAGTATTTTTTACATAAACATTCTTATTAATGTAAAGCATGATATATACTTATAGTTAGTATTACCAATCATGAACTTGATAAAATATAATAAAAATATTTGAATTTTGCAAATAATTTGATTCTTTTAATTGTGTGTATGTACTATGGGTGCTACAATGAAAGTAAAATAAAATGGTCAATAAAGTATGTTAACAAAGATTAAGGTTTTAAGGTATGATTGAAATTTGAAAATTAGAGTAATGGCAATTTTTCAGATGTCATTCAAGGCAAACAAATAAGCCTTTTGTATTAGTTTAAAAACCAATTTTTTTTTTAACTTTTTCAATTAAATTTTTTATTATTGATTATCAGTTTCAAGCAATGTTCTAAAACTCAGACCAGCTTGACCAGTTCAACTAGTCAAACCGGGAACCAGGGCCTTCACCAGTCCAAACCAAAGATAAATCTGGTTTTACTAATTATTCCAGAGTGACCTGTGGTTGGATCGACTGAACAATAGCGAACCATTGGTCCGTGTGGCCCACGGCCCAACCGGGTCACTAAAATTTAAAAACCCAGTTTATTATCTTTGCTCTTTTTCTTCCTTATTCTTTCGAATCGATTACATCTTTCAATTCCTCTTTCTTCCATCTGTGTAATCTTCATTCCAATTCCATTGGTTGATTCACACTTTCACTCAACTACAATCTTTGTTTTGTTTATTATCTGCTTGATCAAGGTATTGCTTTGTGTTGTTCATGATTGGTTTTGTTAGATTTTTGTTGTTCTTGTTCTCATTCTTACTTGCTTGGGTTTATATATTTGGTATGTCGATTTTGTTAGGATTAGTGTATTTTTGATTGTTAAGTAATATTGTTGTGTGTGATTTAGTCAAAAAGCTCAGAGATCCCAGAAACTCACAAAGCTATAGTCCGACCTAGAATCAGCATGATCTAGAGTAAGCTTAACCCAACTAAAGCTTGTCACAGCGACCAATCTTAACATTTGTTAGACTGATCAAGGATAAACTTCAATCTCTGATACTTCAAAAGAGATAAGATCAATATCGCTGGCAGCGCGATCTTAATGCTCAATCATTGAATTCACAGGATTGCATACCAAGTCTGATCACAATCCCGGATTTGTCTCTCATTCCTTTATCAAAACTGTATAAATACCCCCTCAAACGATGAGAGAGGGGTTAGCAAATTAGTATAGGATTTTACATATTCCCTTGTAAGCTCTCAAAGTAATAAGAGGAAAGTGGACGTAGGCTTAAGTCTCAACTTGGCTAACCACTTAAAAAATATGTTTGTGTTATTTATTTTACTGCATTTTTACATTGCATTGTTGATTTTCATTAAGTCATGTACACATCTGTTCTGATTCTGCCAAGGTCAATTAGATCTCTTTGGTTGTTGCGAATTTTCGTATCAATATTTTAGCACTAGAAGGAGGGCCCCCAACTAGCTCTCTTATTCCTAGCAAGGAAAGGCAATTTCAGTGAACAACCACTCACCTGAAATCCCCTATGGCTCGAACAAGATCCAAGGCAACCATTAGAAACCACGATAACATGGATACTAGCTAGCAGGGGGTGAGTCAGACCGTCGCTCATGGTTGTCCGCCACTAGTACCATTGACGCAGCAGGTTGCCAATCAGTTGGGGACATGGACTTCTAACCTAGAAAATAGCCAACTGATGGACATGATAAGGCCGCTGGTTGTACAAGTTGTGCAACAAAATGTGGCAGAGCTGAGGAAAGCAGTAGGCCAATAAAAACCTCGACTAGTCACACTTCACTAAGCCTACTTCCAACAGGCAAAATATGTCAGCTGGCAACCAATTTGGTTCGTCAACGGCAAGGAGCGACCATCACTCCTGATGAGAAAGGGCACATTCCTCTCATGAGTGTGAAGCTCGGAAACAAGCTAATCCGGGGAGGTGACTAGGCAAGCAGCCCATGGGGGACTGATGCGTGATTTCAAATGCATATTTAGCAAGTGCACTATTCGTAAAAAGTAATAAAGTGATCAGTAAAGTATCATTCCCACGAGAATAGTGTTACTAAGTACCGATTTCTCTACTTTTAGTCCTAATTGAACAACAAGAAATTGGATTTGTGGAAATTTAACAACCAAATACAAATTAACAACTAATAAATGATAAAAATTAAATTAAATACAAATCCCAAAATCCAAACAAATCAAATAGCACTAAAAAACGATAGAGTGTTGATTTTACCTAGATACGCAAACCCAATTCATAGAATCTATTACCCAAGTTCTAATTGTTTTTATTGAAAGTCAGAATTCCCTAAGTTGTTTGGTACTCCTTCTTAGGTTATACCACCCCACCTATTCCTATTAACCTTCCGAACCCAAAAATTGAAGTTTAATAGTTCAAGGTCTCTTAAGCTTTGTGGAATTCTATCTAGATTTTATAGATCGCGATTATCTATTTCTAGTTTTCGCTTAATCTAGGGTATTTATCCCAAGAGACACATATCACAAATCACTTCTCAGTCTTATTGTGAACAACACACATTTGAATGGTGATCAAGCATCCAAAAGTCATTAAGCAAAGGGATACAAACTCAATCATGAAATTAAAACTCAAAGTAAATCAATTCATATAAATTTGAATAATTGTGTTACATACCAATTTTGATAAAGGGTAAATGTTAATTAAATTGTATTTTAGGTGTTTTCTTATGGATTTCTTTGTTAATTAATATTGAGTTTATCTCAATAATTTAAATAAATTAGATTAGGATATAGATAAGTTTTATTTTAGTTGAATAAGTCAGCCATGTATTTAAGATTCTTTAGCTGGGGTTGAACATGTGTTTTGGTTTGTTTAAGTTGTTTAACGTGTTTTGCTATATAGTAGGGAAGTATGGTTGTAAGCTCCCATATATTTTCTAGATATCTATTGGAATGAATATGATGATTATTTGCATAAAAGGTTCTATTTGAACTCTGGAGGTTTCTAGCTCCCTCAATTGAGCAAGAATTGCTTTCTTCTCTATTTAATATCAACATAGGCCGAGGAAAGAAAACTTCTTCAAGCACGTATGTATAACATTGTATCAAAGTTATATCAAACCCTAGCTAAACAACTCTATTCATACTAAAAAAATAAAATAAATAAATAACAAAAACAAGTTGAATCAAGGTTTATCATTGAAAAACAAGCAAAAGATGGAGAAATTTTCTCTAATTTGAAGCCCAAATCTTCAATAATCTTCTCCTTCCAAGAGTTGCCTTCCAAATGACAAACCAATAGTAGGTGCCCTAAAGCCAATCAATTATTGTAGAATTGACTCTTTTTAATAATGTTCATTAATCAATAAAAGACATTTTATTCTATATCATGTAAATCATAATGGTATTATTGATATATGTCCTTAGGATGGTAGAACCGTGACGAGGGTATCAAGTGTTTCAAATCTTGATAGTGAGAACCCTATGATCATATATGGTGGCCATTCTAGAAATCTCCATAGCCCTAGCATTATTCTGACCAAGGAAATATATAATACGGTATGGCTATCATAGTGTTGAACGACCCTCTTGAAAGGCAATGACTGATCTCACTTGTTAAGGTTGTTTGCCAATAACTTGGTGCAACACATGGGTGCTTGCTGTAGGCAAGTTCACTAGACTGGCCCACCAAAGGATTCCATATAGATGGTAACCCTAGCGTCTATGGAATAAATCCTCTAACGAATGGTGGTGCATGTGATCCTTAGACTTGAGATCACCGAAGTGCCTTGTACACCTATCATCGATTGGTGTAGTTTGACACCAGCCCAACGTAGTTCTATTTAAAGCTATCAATATGGTAGTGATTGGCTACATCGAGGAGTGTATCAAGACTATGATGGATCAACAAAGGATTCATCACTCATGGGTACGGGAAAAGTTATCTAACGGCACAATTCTGTGAATGGTAATGACACTAATGTTATGGCCACAGTAGGATTGAGTTGTTGCTCAATCCAATTTATTATTCCAGTCATTGGTCTAGTACTTGAATACAAAGATATCAAGGATAACTAAGGTTGACACTATTTCTGTACCTCAGCCTCGATGAGATAATAGATGATAAAAGAATTTGATTATATGGTAACCATATCCTTGATAGGTAGCTGTTTCACTGAATCCAAATCTATTGGCTGGTCTTGATGCTTTGCTAGGGGCCAATCTTGGTCTGTTTGTAATGAGACGATTGATTGGTGTCAATCGCGATACTACTCATTGTTGATATGATAAGGAGCCTACAGGTCACACACTTAGAAGACAGTTTAAGGATGGTAAATTTTGGAAAGGTATATTCGTGTTTTGGATTAATGGACTTATTGGTAATTTTGCTGTGTAATTAAATTTATTGAGGTTGTAGCCTATGTCCAATTTTATTATTGGAGTAATTTAGCAAAATTATAAATTTAATTATTAGAGTTAATATTAATATTTAACTAAATAATTAAATAAGGGTTAATATGCATTTCTACCTGAGTTTGGGTTGTTGCTAAACTTTGGGGGTGAAATGGATATTTGCTTTATTATTTAAAGCAAGAA